AAGAAAAAAGACCTGGTGTGGTGGCTGCTACCCTGACTCTGGAAGTATTTATTTTCTTTTCAGTGGAAGGTCCATGGCTGACATACAGTCCCTTTTCCTGCTTGTTCACTGACCTGAGCTGCAGTGGGATGTGGTTCAAATCTTATTCCTCCAGATCATTTTATCATCTGGTTCCAGTTTTTCCCCTTCAGAGAGGAAGAAAGGCATTGTCACATTTGTGTAGGACTTTTAAGGTTTATTGAGACCAGTGAGACTTTGAGCCTCAGTTTCCTCATCTGTAAAAGGTGGATAATATCTGTAGCAAACCTTCAAGTTGTTTTTCAGCTATTATTATTTATTAACATCTACATTTTATGGATGAGGAAACTGAATCTTTGAGAGGTTAAGCATTTTGCACGTTATTACACAGAAACTTGTTTGGGAACGAAGGAAGACCTCAGATGGAACTGGATCTGGAGGTGTGTCCTTTCTTGCCTGGGGGCATTGCCTTTTCCTGAGGGAGGTGTATAAATCTTAGAGTCCTCGGGTTTGGGAATCTTATCTTTCCAGAGTCTCCAGACTCTTTTCTCATCATATGGAAAGTGGAATGGATACCTCTCCTAGCACTTTGGTCCATGGAAGGGGAAGGAGGGTTTCATTATTGTGCTCTGCAGCCAGTTGAAACCTGAAATGGTAGGGGTAATGGAGGGATGACTTTCTGCCATCTGAAGAAGGATGCCATTTGAAGTAGGGAATCTGGATCTAGTTGTCTCTGACCCCGTTTTCTCCCTCAGCCCCTTTACCCAGTGAGAAGCCCAGATAACCTGAAATCTGATCCCAGGTCATTGACTTTGGAATGAACCTGATGATGAGGGCAAAGGAAAATGATAAATCAGAATAGGAAAGAAAGCTGGCTCTTCCCTTTTTGCCCTGAATGACAGCTCTAGGGAGAGGAAATTCCCCATTTCTATGCTTTTTTTTAAAGCTTTCCAGGTGCCAGCCCTATGAGGAAAATACTCATGAAGATGCAGGCCCTAAGAGCCCATAGTCAGGGTCATTGACAAGTATCAAAGCCAGGATCTGAATTCAGGTCTCCTGAGTCCAAAACCAGCAGAAGCTCTAAACTTGGGACAAAGAGGAAATCACCATCTGGTGACCCATGTCATGTGGTGGAAAGAGCACAGGTTTGGAGCCAAGAGCCCTGGCTTCCTTCCCTTCCACTTGGATGACCTTGGGCAGGATGTCTCACCTCTGGGCGTCAACGCCTTCATCTGCAAAATGAAGATCCGCCAAACAAGAGAATGGCCATAAAGCACTTTGGAAACCTCAAAACACTACATAAAAGGCCACTTCTTATGACTTTAGGATGACAAGGACCCTTCGTAACTTCGTGGTCTTAGCTGCCCTCAGCTCAGAGAGATTAAATGACTTACTTTGTCGATGATCAGATATCTTGGAAGTATAAGAGGCAGGCTCTAAGCTCAGGCCTTCTTTGTCCAGTTCTCTAGCCTTGATGCCTCAATACAAATGAATATTAGTGATATTTATTCATAATTACTAACAAATGGATAATAATAAATAAGGGCATTAGGCTAGATGGGCTCTCCGTCTCCTTCTGGCTCTCAATCCAATGGCACCTCCCAGCAGGAACTGTCTGTCCCCAGATACTCTCACCCCAAATGATATCTCCAACTCTACTTCTTTATAGATAGTAATACTAACAGCTGGTATTTATACAGTGGTTTATCGATTACATTACATTTGGTCCTCCTAGCAGCCCTGTGAGTTAAGGAGAATGGGTATTATTTTCCCCATGGTATAGAGATCCAAACCTGCTTCTCTTGGAGTATAAATTCAAAACTCCTTCTACTTCATTGCTCTCCACTGCAGAGTTGACAGTCCGGGTTCTCAGAACTTAGAGATGGAATGGACGTTAAAGAATATAGTCCAAACTCCTTATTTTACAGATGAGTAAACTGAGCTTCCTACCTCCTGCCCTACTCCCAGCTGAAGGCAAGTCAGCTTAGATCTAAGGACAAGCTGTAGGATGGCACCTTGCTGATTTCTCTGATCATCTACACATGGCCTGAAGCCCCTGGTCCTTGGTTAGCTTCTCAGGAGCACTTAGCAGCTCATTCTGGCCATGAGCTAAGGCTTCCAGGCTCAATGTTTCCTCTGTTCTGGGGTGACCCCTCAGCTTACTATCTTCCTTCCTACTGTGTCCACTTTCCCTTAGAGGTTCTGAGCTTGAGCATAGCCAGCCTGGAAAGTTCTGAGAGCCTTAGGGGGTGTGTGTGTGTGTGTGTGTGTGTGTGTGTGTGTGTGTGTGGTGGATAAGATGGGACTAATCAGAGCCAGACTGGGTGTTTCTGTGTGTGAGTGGCCAGCTGGGATCCTAGGTTCCCAAAGTACCATCCCAAAGGAAGCCCCCTGGTGGGGGTAGAGGGTACATTTTGAGAATCATTGGCACACTGGGAGGCTGGTTGTCTCTCCTACAGAAGGAAGAATGTGAGTCCAGTAGAGGCCACAGTGCAGAGAATCCCTGGTCTAGAGACCAAGCGATAGATAAATTACCCTCAGGACTCCAAATCTATCCATGATGGAGTGAGGGAGTGCTGAAAGGGGAGGAAAGATTTCCAGAAAAACTCCTGTACAACCTCAGAGCATAGGGTTTGGAGCTGGAAGGGTTCTCAGAGATAATATAGTCCATTCTTTCATTTTACAGATGGGAAAACTGAGTCCCAGGGAAGGGAAGGGACTTGTCCAAGGTCATACAGCTAGGAAATGGCAGAGCTGGGATTTAAAGCTTTGTTCTTTGACTCTTCCACTATAACTTCCCAGGAGCTGTGGAGAAGGTAGAAGCCCTGCCCTCATGTGGTTGGGGTATGTCACCAGATGTGTGTGTTTATGTCTCAGGGATTTTCTGTGGGCCTTTTTTTCTTCATGTCTTACTGATTTTTTAAAAATAAATATTACTTCCCAATGGCCAGCTCCACACAAAATAGAATCCTCCCTTGTAAACAAGTACAGTGAAATAAAATAAACCATCATATTAACTGTATCTGACCAGGCATGCCTCATTCCATACCTTTCTACCCAGAGGAAGAGGGAGGCATGTTCCGCGCTTGGTCCTCTGGAGCCCAGGTTGGTTATTGATCTGAATCTTGCATCAGTTCAAACATCTTCTCTAATTTCTTTGAGTAGCTCATATTTGCCATTTCTTATAGTGCATTAAAATTCCACCAAGATAATAGCTAACATTTATATAATGCTTACTACATGCCAGGTACCATGCAAAGCACATTGCAATGGTTACCTCATTTGATACAACAAACCTGGGAGGTAGGTGCTATTATCCCCATTTTATAGATAAGGAAATTAAGGCAAATGGAAGTCAAGTGACTTGCTCAGGGTCATGAAGCTAGTAAATGTCTGAAGTCAGATTTGAGCTCAGATCTTTCTCCAAGCCCAGAGCTCTATCCACTGCACAACCTAGCTACTCTATTACATTCATACACAATTTGTTTAGCTAATCATTGGACATCCAATCACTTGGTTTCCTTTTTTTTTTTTTTTTTGCAACCACAAAAAGGGCTGCTATAAATATTTTGGTATACATACACTGTTGCCTCTGTCTTTCACCCTTTCAGATGTGTGCCTAGTATTAGTACTACTATAATTCCAAATTATTTTCCAGAGCGGTTGTATGACTTCACAGTTCCATCACCAAGCATGTGTATGTTGTATGTGTTTTATTCAAATTTGATTTCACGTTTGAGGAATTCGATAGGGGATGTGTATGTGTGTTTGCATGCTTTTTCCTTTGGGAGCTATTTGAGTGGCTATCTGAGGGAAGCTATAGAGCAGGGTGGGAGTGTGTCTGTGCCTGAGGAGATGTAATGTTGGGATTCTGTGGGGTTTGTGTGGTATTTTTTGGCAGGATGTCTCTCTGTGGGATGTGTCTGTAGGATAAAGGATTAGGGCTAAAAGGGAAAATATTTGGAAGGCTGTATCTATGTGGGGATTATTTGGGATGGATTTCTCTCTATTGAGTCTAGGGCTGAGCTGTGCAATTTTGTGGTTCTAGAAAAGGGATAGGAACCCTAGAGTCCTTTTTCTCCTTCATTGTTTCCCAGTATGACAGGTATTGGGGGTGTGGGGATGAAAGTGTTGTTGCCTGCATTGGAACAGATTGAGTTGGTGAAATAGGAAGAAAACCCCCTCCCCCTCCCCCCATACACATACTCTGTCACTTCCTCCCCACAAGCGGGGGCCAGTGCACAGCTCACATATTACATGACTATATGGACGAGAAGGACTCTAAGCTGTTGTCCTCTTTCCAGTCTAAGGATTCAGTTGTTATGGGGAAGTGAGTGGGGTGTCTTCTGACTAAAAGTTCAAGTCTTGCCCAAGAGATGGAGCCCATTCCTAGGGACAGTAGACATCCAAGCATTCAGATGTGGAGTTTGCCTGGGATCCATTCCTCCTTCCCTTGCCTATCTCCCATGGAGCCTGAAAGGAAGCACCTTATTCTCCCATCCCCAATGCCCTTGTCATCCTCTTAGGTTTAAGCTGGCCCCTCGTCACTTAGCTCCACTCTGCATTCCTGGGTACTATCTCCCCAGTTTCTTCTACCCTATAGTACCTTGGCCCACTCACCCACCTACCTATCCCTGGGCTAGTTTTCCTCCTCTTTGCTTGGTTTGGGGTAGCCTGGCCCAAGCCTAAAACCTCTACTGGTTATCTCCTTGTGAGCACGAAGGCCTCTCTCCTCCACCACCCCCACCCCCACCTGAGCTCAGAGGTCATGCAGATGTGTAAGGACCTGAGAAGCAGCTCCCTCCCAAAATCCTTGGTCCTCACTTGCCTCCAGGACAGTTCTGGGGGTGAGTCCAATGTGGCCAAGGGTGACCATCAAGTCTCAAGCCCCAAGACAAGAGTTGACTGTGTAAATGTGTATAGGAGATTGTAGGAATACATTTTAGTTCCCCTTGCCCTGGGCAAATAACTATAAAATTCCATAGGGCAAACTCAAGCTTTATTCTGCATTCATTCAGTCAACAAGCATTTGTTAAACGCTAACTGTGGGCCAGGCACTGTGCTAAATGCTGGGAATACAAACACAAGCACAAAGACAGTCCCTGCCCTCAAGGAGCTTACAATCTAAGGGGAGAAGGTTAAACATAAAAGGAAGGGGGCAAGGAAGGTGCCCTGCTTGGCAGCGTGGTACAGAAAATCTGGAGTGCAGCCTGGAGAGGAATGAGGACATGGGTGGCTTTCTTAATGCAGGTTCTGGGAGGAGCCATCCAATCAGGAGAGGCTGAGGAGCCGGAGGATACTTCCACTGTGTGACTTCCACGATTGGAGTGATCTTTTGGGGGTCCTGGTTTTTGTCATTCAACATGTTAGCACTTCTTGCCACCTTCATTGCCATCTGCAAATTAGATAAACGTGTTATCTCTCGCTGCCTCCGGGTCATGGACAAAATGCTGAAGAGTGCAGAACCAAGGACAGATCCCTGGAGCCCTCCACTAGAGACTTCCCCTTTGTTAGACTGGGAGCTCCTCTCTTGCTTCTTCTACACCTCAGCATTTAGCACAGTGCCTGGCACACAGTAGGCACTTAATAAATGTTTACTGACTGACTTCCCAATCCATTAGTGACTTTTCTTTGGTTCTGGTCCTTGTACCACTCTACCCTACAGGCTTGTTGTGGGTAAAGCAATTTGTAAACCTTAAACCACTATAAGAGTGTGAACAGCTATTATTATTTTACTGGTTCCAAATCTGACCTGAGGTCTATCCCACCTCTCCCCACTTTGTTCCCAAGGATGGCACAAGAGATTTTGTCAGCGGCTCTGCCAAAATCTAGATTAGCTATGTCAACTGAATTCATTAAACATTTATTTATTTATTGGCTAGGTAATGGGGTTAAGTGACTTGCCCAGGGTCACACAACTAGTAAGTTTTGTGTGTCTGAGGCCGGATTTGAACTCAGGTCCTCCTGAGTTCAGGGCCGGTGCTATCCACTGCTCCACCTAGCTGCCCCTCAGTAAACATTTATTAAGGACCTACTATATGCATGGCCCAGTGCTAAAATGCTCAGGATTCAGACGGGAACATGAACTTACCCTGGCACTGGGGGTGTCTACGATATTCTCCTTGCCTCTCGCTCCCCTCCATACTCACGCTGTATAGGAGGCCTGTTATTCATCAAGCTGCCCCTGCTGGGCCCTTGGTGATCACCACTTCCTTTACTGAATGCTCACTCTATCCCACTAATGACACCTTATAGAAGGTGTTATGGAACTCCTGGTGCTCCCTGGCTGCTGATCTCCTTTCAGCTTCTCTGCCATCTGCTTGCCTTCATTTCCTGTTTCTACAGGGCTCCTCCCCACCCCACCCCACTCTGTCCTCTCTCTCCTTCCCTGATGATGGGGATGAGGGAGCTGAACCCTCCTCACTCCCAAAGGGGATCTCTAACTTCCTCATAGCTCCATCATCCAGTCAATGACCCCCATCTTCTGGGACACAGGGCCTGGGCAGTAGCCTGCCCTACTGTACTCTCTGGGCTCCGTCAGCAGCTCTTGTGCTGTCTGGCCCTGGGCATCCAGCCAGATCGGTTCCTGGAAGAGGGGTGGGGGTAGGGAGGGCAAGGCCCAGGTCAGACCCAGTCCCCTCTTACAGTCATTCCTATGGCCCTTCCTCATGCTCTATAAAGGCCTAGACTCCTCCAAAACACCCGCCGGGACACTAGAAGCAGCATCTTCCCCAGAAGTGACAGCTGTCCCACAGCCCTCCTGCTCCACAGCTCTGCCCCAACCTGCTTCAGAGCTAAAAGACCTTGGAGCAGGCCCTGGGGGCACATGATTGCCATCTCTCAGAGGGCAAGGAGTTAGGATTATTCTGCCTGACATCTTGGGGCTGAAGAAGGAGCAACGGGGAGAAATCTGGGGAGGCAAATTTCACTACAAGGAAGAACCTCCTAGCAATCAGAGCAGTCTTACAGGGAGGGGGCCGCCTGAAGGGAGGAGGGAATGGTAGTGAGCTCTCCAGTAATGGAAGGATTTCAGAACTGGAGGGAGCTTTGATATAATGGAGTGCTGAGAACGTAGGGCTAGGAGTCAGTCTCTTGGACATGTCACCTCTGCTCTCTGGGCCTCTGTTTCCCCACCTGTAAAATGTGAGGTTCAGATTCAATAGTTTCTAAGCTTCTTTCCAGCCCTGACATTCTAGTTATAACTCAACTTCTGCATTTTACAGATGAAGAAACTGAAACAAACTGAGGTTAATTACTTGCCCAGGGTTACATAGCCAGTATGTGTCTGAGGCCAGATTTGAACTCAGGCCTTCCTGACCCAGGGTCCAGGTCTCTATCTACTGTACACACAGAAACAGATGCACACATTTATACAGTGACAGAAACATACAGATACATGCACATGGTGACATGTGCACATGAGTGCATATCAAGATATATACATATATGCATGTATGACACAGACATCCTTACAAGACAGGTACTTCCATATCAAGGCTTGATGTCACTTTGTTTTTCAGTAATGTCCAACTCTTCATGAGTCCATTTGGGGTTTTCTCAGCAAAGATACTGGAGTAGTTTGCCATTTCCTTCTCCAACTCACTTTACAGATGAGGAAACAGGCAAACAGGGTTAAGGGACACGCAGCTAGGAAGTGTCTGAGGCCAGATTTGAACTCATGAAGATGACTCTTTCTGACTCAGGTCCAGCACTCTACCCACTGCCCCACCTAGCTGCCCAGTGTCACTCAGAGCTACTGAAAAGTAGAAGAGGCTGCCGGGGGACATTGTGGCTTTGCTCCATTAGGGAGGTTAAAAAAAAAAAGCCATGTGACCTGGGTGGCTTAGAGAGAATTTGACCTTGAGGGATAGGTCGGGACCCGGTGCCCCTCTAGTGTCCCATCCAACCCTAAGATTCTGTGATGCAGACGCATGAGATCGGACGAGGCATACACCTAGCCATATCCAGTCCTGGAAGCTGGGCACGAGTGAGTGTGCTTCTGGGCTGCTCAGACATTTCCAATCCTCAGTGACTGGCTTGGTCGGAGCAGCCACACTCGTTAGCAGCGTCAGGCCCCCAGAGCTGCTTCCAGCTTCCACTCTGGGGAGCAGTCTCTCTATGCAGCTGCCCCACAATCCCTGGAGCTGAGTTTTGGCTCAGCCACGGAATAACAGGAGGAGATTCTATTGCACCAGAAACCCCAGAGTAGATGGTTCTCAGGCACTCCCAGCTCTGACATTCTGTCTTGTAGGCAAGGTTCCTTCCAGATCTCCTGTTCTGCTCTGTTCTAAGGGCCCTCCCACTCCTGATGTTCTAGGATTTTGTGATTAAGCAGAGGAGAGGGAACCCCCTGATCCCTCAGGGCACCTCATCTCATCTGGTGGGTTATTGAGAAGCGTGTTTTTCCTATCTTCTGTCCCAGAGCATTTTCTTTTTAATTTCAGCCCCTTCTTGTCTGTCTCCAGCTCGATGTCTGTCTTAGATTGGGAAGTCCCAGAACAAGTAGCTTCCTCAGGCCCCTCGTTCAAGAGGGAGACATAGCCCCTGTGCTCAGGACCTCCTTGGTATAAGGGCGAGACAGAGCTCCTTCCATCTCCCAGAACTAATTCCTAGGCATTTTCCTATACCTCATCTCCATCCTTGTATCAAAGAGTTACCTGGCAGCTAGGTAATGCAGTAGAAAGGAAGACCTGAGTTTGAATTCTGCCTCAGACACTCCTTAGCTGTGCGTCCCAGGGCAAGTTGCTTAACCTCTCTGGGCCTAAGTTTCCCTATCTGTAAAATGAGAATAATAAAAGCAACTATCTCCCAGGATTGTTGTGAGAATCAAATGAATTAATATATGTAAAACACTTTCCAAATTCCAAAGAACGATATAAAAAAGAACTATTGTTAATAAATATTAATAATTAATTAGTCAATTAATAATTATTGATACATAATGATTTATTTCTAATGTATTTTTATATAATTATTAAATTTACTATTTTATTAACTGATTGTCAAGCAAACCATTTCCATATTGGTCATGTCCAAAAATGTATGTCTCATTCTGTATCTTAAGTCCATCATCTCTTTGATGATGGATTTCCATGTTGTCTGAGGCCAGGATGAAAAGGAGTAGGTAGCCAGAGTGGAGCAGCAGAGATTGAACTGAGAAATACAGAAAGCCTGCTAAGAAAAGGAGCAACAGTGCCCTCCAGGCAGGGCTGTTGTGTCCATAGGTATTTCCCCAGGGAGGAAGAAGCTAGCAGGGTCTGGCCTCCTGGGATCCTGGTTCTGGGGGCCGCCCCATTGACTCTAGGGTGGGCATTTAGGTGGTTCAGTGGGTAGAGTGCTGAGTTACAATCCTGCTTCAAATACTTATTAGCTTAGTCATGTCACTTAACTTCTCTCGAGCTCAGTTTCCTCATCTGCAAAATGAGGCAAGTGGATTTGATGGCCACTAAAAAACCTTCCGGTTCTAAACCTGTGAATCAGGTTTATCCATCCACTTAGCACTGTGTGGTGAAAATTACAATGACCTTAGAGTAGAATCCCTAGATTCAAACTCCAGCTGTTACCAGAACAGCCCATTTTTCCACGCTGGCATTCCCACATATTGCTGGATTTAAGGCGATGTATTTTGGAAATAAGTATACCTCATTCATGGCCAGAATCCCTATCCTAGTGTGAACTTGGGACCCTAAAGTCAATTCATGTCTGATTATTAACATAATTTTTAAAAACCTGGGCAATCTAGAGCATAGAATCAGCAAGAGCATTTAATTGGGAAGGACAAAGAAATAAAACAAACATTAGAAATTTTAGCCATCCCTCCCCAAATTGATGCGTTCCCACCTTCCTCATTCCCAGCCTTGTCCAAAGATTAAGCTCCGCTTTACCCAGGTTTCTGCCTGAAAACTGAGGAAAGCCATGCAAATTCTGGGCAGCTGTGAGCCTTCCCCCCTAGAGCTCCTGACCATTATACCACTCGCTTACCATTATGGCAGTCTTTGAGATTCCGTAGTCTCCCCTTCTCATGACAAACAGCCTGCTAGAAAGTCACTTCAGCCTTCCATCCTTAACACATTTCTTCACCCTCAACAGCTCAAGACTCTTTAGGCTCTGAGTTTCCTTATTCCTCATTCTCCCTCTCCCTTTTCCCCTCCACTTCACCCCTCCACAACCCCTTCCCCCCAATCCCTTGGGTTATCTCTACTTCCTTCCTCCCCCCCAGGATTTCCACCTCTTCCCCATGTTGAAATATTTCTTTTGCCCAAGTGCTTGTCTCTGGGAAATGAAATCCCAGTTGGATGGCCTTGTGTCTACTGTACAGCACACACTAGCAAGGGTAGGCTGAGTCCCTTGATGCACTTACTACCTGTATGACCTTGGAAAGGAATTTCCTCTCTCTGAGCCTCGATTTCCTCTCCTGTCAAATAAGGGAGTTGGATCAGAGAGGGAATTTTTATATGGTGGGCCACATTGGCATGTTGGTGAAGCCCACCACCAACCCCAGAAGAATATTTTTAAATGCATCAAATAAATACCCAGGATTACAAAGGAAATGAATTATATCGAAATAATAATTATTCAATTAAAAATATGTTTATGGATCTTAGGTTAAGAACTCCTGGTAGAGTATCTTAAAATTGACCACTATAATCCCTACAGCTTTTTCACACAAACTGTTCTACGGCCAAGTCTCACCCATTCTGTATTTGTCCAGTTGATTTTTAATAGGCAGCTAGCTTATGCAATGGATAAAAACCTTGAACCTGGAATTAAGAATACGTGAGTTCAAATCCAGCCTTGGACACTCCCTAACTGGGTAATCCTGAGCAAGTCACGCAATCAATGTCTGCTTCAGTTCCTTCATCTGTAAAATGATTATAATAATAGCCCCTACCTCCCAGGGTTGTTGTGAGGCTCAAATGAGATAACATATGCAAAGTGCTTTGTAGATCTTAAAGTACTGCATAAATGTATTATGTGTTATTATATAGTACTGTAGACATAAATTAAGTGACTTGCCCAAGGTAGGAAAATTGAATATAATCTTGTAGGGGGGAAATGGACCGTTAATAAAATTGTCTAAGCACTACCAATGAAAAAACGAGCTGAGTAGAAATTTTGAAGTACAATATAGAGCAAAGAGAAATACGAAAAGGAAAAAGCAAACGATCGATTAGAAAAAAAATTTTATACAGATGAAGTGTTTAGGTTCTAATGGGGAGGAGAGTGATAGAAGCATGCCCAGAAAATTGTAATGTCAGCAGGAATCACAGAGAGGTCAATTAAAATGGAGTGCCTTCGAGTGAGTTTTATTATGTTTCG